TAGACTTCCTCGATGTCTTTGCCTCGGCACTCGGCCAAGAGCCGTGGGAGGCTTTTGATACCCATCTCAGGACGATCCAGCTGGGCGATGTTGACCAACGTGGCAACGCTCTCCTCTGCAGTTGGGGGAACACCGACCTGGTGCAGGCCCATCGGCAGCGCGCGGGACTCGATCTCCATGAGGAGACGGTAGACCTTTCCAACCACTGCGTCTCGCTCGTCAAGAGACACAGCCCCCATGTCATCCTCTTCGGAGGGGAGCCCCTCGATGTCCTTGTCCAAGTTGCACTGTCTGGCGGTTGCGACAATGGAGTTGACGATCGAGGCACCTCGCTGCTCGTTCTCGCGGAGACCCTGGTAGGACTTCACAAGCTCACTAAGCTCCTTCAGCCCCTTGTACAGCCCAGCATTCTCGGCCGGAGGGGTCAGGTAGGAGATCGTAGACGCGTACGACCGTCGCTTGGCGATCGTGGCCTCTGAGGGGTTGTTTGCTGCGTAGTAGTACAAGTTGGGCAGCACCGAGATGAGTCGGTCAGGGTAGCAGCTGCCTGACATGCCGACCTGCTTGCCAGGCATGAACTCCAGAGAGCCGTGCGTTCCGAAGTGGAGCAGCGCATCGGCCTTGAAGATGAACTCCAGGTAGGTGTAGAAAGCCGCAAAGCCGTGGTGTGGAGATGCCGACTTGGCGAAGAGCAGCCTCATGGGATCGCCCTCATAGCCAAAGGTTGGCTGAACACCAAGGAAGATGTTTCCAAAGTGCTTGCCGTAGATAAGCATGTCCCTGCCGTCGGTGTTCAACTCGCCAGGAGGTGCGCCCCAGTTCTCACGCAAGTCTGTGGCGAAAGGGCAAAGCTCCTCATACTCGTCCACGCTCATGCGGTAGGCCACGTTGAGGTCTGACATGGACATCGCGGCTTCAGGGTCCTCAAGGATGGACTTCTGAAGGCCCTCAGCGTTCTCGGGCATGTCCTCGATGGTGTAGCCCTGCTTCTTCAGCTCTCCCATCACTGCGTGGATGCTGCCGAAGACATCCAGGTACGCAGCGGTTCCGACATTGCCCTTGTCCGGAGGGAACTGGAAGACGCAAATGCTCAGCTTCTTCTCCGAGTTGGGCTTCTTGCGCAAGTTTGCCCAATTCATCGCTCGTGTGGCCACGGCGCCGATGCGGTCCTGCATTGGGATGGAGCGACCACTGGTGCCATCACGTCCGGAGAAGATCAGGGGCTCGATGGCGCCATCGATCTCAGGCAGCGAGACCTGGAGGGCAACCTGAACTGGGTGAAGACCCAGCTGGCTGTTTTGCCACTCCGTGAAGGACTGGAAGACCAGGGGCACGCTGACCAAGTATGGTCGGTTCAGCTTCATCAGGACCTCCTTGGCCTTCTTGGCATCCTGGGAGGCTGGTCCACCGACCAGGGAGAAGCCGGTCAGGTTGACAAGAGCGTCCACGATTCCCTCGCCGCTTGGGCCGGACAAGTACTCCTGCACAGGCACGGAGAAATCCAGGCCGCCGGTGTAGGTGCACGCCACGCGAGCTCCGCGGCGCTCGAGCTCCTGGACCACGCCCACGTAGTGGCCATCATCCTTGGTAGCGATGTGTGACTTCTGCAGCACAAGTCCGATGGTTGGGGCATTTGGAAGAATACCAGCAGCAGGGCAGTGCACGTTGTCATACCAGTCCTGGTACTCGCTCATGGTGTCGAAGATCTGAGGGGCAAGCGGGTGCCAAATGCCCATGTCAGGGAGCACCACGGGCTCCATGAGCGCTTCGGTGTCCAGACCCTCAACGCCGGGCACGTAGCCGCCGGCCACGCGCAGGAGCATCGCCTCCAAGTTCTCCGGCGTTCCGCCAAGCCAGTGCTGGAGGGACAGGACGAAAGTCCTGGCGTCCTTTGCCTGATCTCCTGGCAAGAACTTCAACACCTTGGGCAACGTTCGGACCAGCTTCAAAAGACTGTCCTGGAAGTTGCCGCCTGAGGCCGGCTTGTTTTTGGACAGAGACTTCTGGCGCAAGTCCTTCACCTGCTGTGCGAAGTTGCCGAGCGGTCCCCCGGCGATCTGCGTCAGGTCAAAGGTTCCGAGCTTGTTCTGCTTCATGACCTCTGGCATCGACGGGAAGCAGAGGCAGGCCTGGAGGTTGTCTCGTCGAGGTTCTACGAGCTTGACAAGCTTCTCGGCCAGCTCTTGCACAAATATCAAGGAACAGATGAAAATGTCGGCGTCGTCTAAGTCCTTCGCCAGCTCCTCTTCCGTGGAGGGAGTTCGAATCTCCTCCAGCAAGTAGCCCACGCACTCCATGCAGACAGGCCCTGGAGATTTGTTGATCTGACGGATGGCCGTCGTCATCGCTGACTGATACTGGGACTCCAGGACCACATAAACCACTTTCACGTACTTGCGGCCCTGCCTCTGTGCCTCGGTAGGAACGACGCGGCGCGCAGCCACGTTCGACTGTGTGTAACCACCCATGGCACCGCCGGACACGCCTGCCATCATCTCATCCTCGCCATCCGGGGCGTTCAGAGTCTGGACGTCGGCCGTAGCGACACGCAGAGCCGTACGCTTGGCGCTACGCTTGGATCTCTTGGAGCTTGCTGCCAAACCAAGCAGCGAGCCGCCCATCACCGCCGCAGCGGCCGACATCTTCGCATTGGACTCTGAGCCCTGTGCTGGACTCTGAACCGCAGTTGCACCCATCCGTGCACGAGCATGGATCTGTGAGAGGGATGGCTGAGCGGCGTACGTGATACCTGATTCAGTAACTGTGCCAGCATTCGCGGCCATGACAAAGGCCTGGTTGGACTGGCCCGACATACTGGCTGTAGTCGGATCGGGGAACTCTGTGCGGAAAAATGAAAACAAAATCGGCTTGAGCCAGGAGCATTTCAACAACTTGTTTTAGCTGTTTAGCTGGTCAAGATATCCTGCTACATGCGCTGTGTCCTGATGGAAGGGGATCCTACCCCCGCCGAATTCCGCACCATCTCCGCTCTGAAAACTATCTACAACTCTTCGACGGAAGTCCTATCATGAAGATTCTGGTCATGCATGCTAAGACGGTGGATACAAAAAATATTGCATGACCCTAAGTGCCTTATACATTGGGAACTTGAGGGAGTGTAGTATATCAAGGTCATGCAAGATTTGTAGTATCAACAAAGTCACGAACACTATCACAGTTCAGCGCTGGAGCAGCAAATGCCAAGTCCAAGGCCCGCTGTCGATTGCGCTTGTACTGGCGAGCCCGATGGTTCTCAAAGTAGGTGCGATTCCAGGAATTCATCCTAGGCTCCGAGGATATGGGGTATATTATTAGGGTTATATAGGGATAATGGAAAAGAAAATGGAAACTACTATAGTAGATAGGGTTATATAGAGGTTATTCTGGGGTTATATAGGGATAATGGAAAAGAAAATGGAAACTACTATATTATAGTAGGATATATCCCATATTCTATCATAAGATTATCCCAATAATGGAGAATCAAATGGAAAAGAACATGGAAAATGAAATGGAAACTGGGTTTGAGGGTTTAGGGTTTAGGGTTTGGGAGGTTCAGCTTAGCTGTGCGTTGCCAACACTCCCTGGGCAGACCCCAACTAGGATTGGCGGCAAGGCTCTGATTTGTCATATAGTCATCCTTGTTCGTGATCAGGCTAGTGTGAGCGTCGGTGAAATTCGTCAGTGCCTGGTTCATCTCCTCACGGTTGTTGAGGTACTTGGCTTTCTGTGGGTCGGTGTCTGCAATGGCGGATTCTTGCGTCTGAGTGAAAGCTTCGATCTCACTGTTGGCACCTGAGGGCACATTTCTCGAAATTCTGGCGCTCCCCACAAGCCAAGTCTGCATTAGGAGGACTCCAAGAGAAAGCACATAATGAAGAGTCTCCGCACACGAACGGGCCTTCGGTGAGTCCTGTGAGGAAGCTCTTCTCCAAATCTTCCAATCGCGTGAAGAACTCTCTGCTGTTGTCCAGCATGCTCTTCACAAGGTCGCTGATCTTGGCCTCGAAATCGGAGAGCGCCTCTTCGATGCCTTGGCTAGAGACACGAAGGGCGGGATTATGCAGGATTACGTCACCCAACAAGGAGAATCACATGGAAGGGCAAATCGGAAACGAAATGGGAACTGGGGTTTAGTTGGGGCCTGGATTTTTGGTATGATGCTTGGATGTCGGCATCCAAGGAACTCTCTTGAAGCGCGATCTCGTTTGCCATGAGCTGGTTCTCTAAATCGCCAAGTTCATCAAGCAAGTGCTTGAGCAATTCATCAACCTCTGCCCGCACACCATCCTCCTTGTCCACTTGAGTCCTGAGCTGGATGGTTGTCAAAATTATGGTCCCTTTTTGGATCCCTATTATAATACGGCCCCTAATATTTAGGGTACCCAAAAAGGGACCATAATTTTGACAACCACCCAGCTATGGGCTCCAAGTCATGACCCCATTCTACACGCTGCCCCTGGGGCCGTCTTTACAGCTTGGGCCGCGGCAGCACTTTCTTCTTGACACTCCTGGGTTGCTGTTAAGGAACTTAATTTAAGTTACTATATTGGGGAAACCCAATTATTTACTATATATATATACCCATTATGGTAACTTAAACTAAATTCCTTAACAGCAACCCA